ACATTCATCAAACTTATTTAAATTATTCCTTACTTATTCAAAACTTTAAAAAAGTTAGTTAAAATTAATTTAATAGCTCTGAGTAAATTTATTTTAAAACATCCTTGTAATTAGATAAATTTTAATTCACTTTATTACTTTCAATTTCACCAAGAAGGAATAAAAGACAGCTGATTCATTATTGTCACGATATTTAGATGATGTATATATGTGATAATGACAAGAGGATACTGAACTTTAACACACACACACAAATAGCTAATTATTTGTTTTTTTCTGGGACTCCTAGCTTGTTCGCTAGACTTTGTGTGTATACTCCTATGCATGTCACTGAATTAAATTGTTGAAGCTGTTGGATTTATTAACTTCCTCTATGGTAAACAGAAGAGTTGAGCCGCTCAGTACTGAGAGAGATGGACATCAGTAAGACGTAAGTCAGACTTCCAAACTTTTGGTAGCATCCTGATAATTCATGGAAACTTTTTTAGCGGAAGCTATTCTGGGAAATCCAAGGCTTGATCATGTATACGTTTTATCACGAATGACGCCATTTCCGGGCTTATGAGATACTCAGTTATATGAGCTGTTTATGAGTGTTTTAATAGTCATAACAAAAATATTTCTGCGAATTCATCTAGTCGGAGTAGAAGGCTGGAGGATTATAACCATATAGGATGATCTGATACTGTTATTTTATAACACATTTGCTGGTTTTATTTAATTATCTTAGGTTAGACACAGCTTGTTAGTCCTATAAGCGATGAATATACCCAGCAGTTCATTTTTGACTTTCCCACAGACTCTGACCTTGCCAGCTGGACACCGAGAAGGATGTAAAATAGAAAATGAAAAATACTGTTAAAAGTACTAATTATATGTTATCTTATCTTTCCATGTATCCAAATTCTATACATGAAATTGTCCACAGAAATAGACTCGCCATATAAGTCTAGTATGATATATTTATAATATGTTGGCTTAAATTTTATCATATTGTATTTCTGAAAGAAAAAGTTCGGAATGATTTTTTGACGTATCTTTAACTGCAAAATAAGATTTGTTGTAACGTAAAAAGAGTAAAACAAGTACAAGAAAGGGAATATCTCATTTTATTTTATGGCTGACGCAACTGCTCCTATCTATTGTAGAATTTTATAAAATATTAATAATATATCACATAACTTGGGCACTACTAAGAATAAAAACTTTGCCTGAAATGCGATGATGACCTCATACGAATATTTAGAAAACAAGAAACAAACGACAACTTCGAATTAAAGAAAAATCATTTTACGGAATAAAACATTTTAATTATGCTGGAATATTATTATGATTTTAATTTTGTTCCTCTACATTCCAGTTGTAATTATAAAAATAAGGGAATTTTACATCTAAATGTAATATAAAATTTGCACATTTTTGTAGTCGCCTTAAAAAATAAAATTCAGAAGACTGTTTACATGACACCAGATTCGCCAACATAAACGTTAAGCCTTCTTTGTATTCGTTAGGTAGGTATTGCTTCTCTGTAATGTATCTATATAGAAGTCTTTACTTTGGAAGTTTCAACGAAATGTGTTACTTCTATTTGTTTTATCAGTCTCGTCTGTTTTCAAGGAGAAACAGAAAAGTAATTGAAATGCTAACTTTCACTATTATTGTGTTCGAAAGCTTAGCGTATGAAGATATTCAAGTTTATAACAGCCTAGCAAAAACCTCATCAAGCAAAATTTGCTACAGAAGCTAACTCTTCAGATTGCCAGTGGTAGCTTAAACGAGAGTTTCGTCAGTTAAGCATGTTATCAATACGACATTCATTCGTTTTTCTCGAATTTCAAATGGTTTAAAAGATTTATTACCGTCTACGTGATAGTTTTTCTTTTCGTCTGCTTAATGCAGTAAGGGCATAGCAGAATGTCAGACAGCGCCTTATGTTTAAGTATCTGGTGTGTTCACACGTTATACACTCAACATACAGACATATATATATACACACACACACAAACATACACATGCACATAGATGTGTCTATATGTAAGTGTTATGGATAAGTCATTTTGCTCCCGTAGTAGGGATTTTATATATGCTACAGTGATTTTTTTTTTCAAATCGAGCGGAATCCTATATTATTATTCGATTTTTTTCTATTAAGTCATTTAACAAAATTAGTTTAGAAGCAAAACTAATCACATACCAACTTGTGTGAGTGTGAAGTATCATTCCTGTAAACGTTTATCATTTGCCTGACCGGCGTTTTTCCGCGTGTAACTTGTTTGAGTGTGAGAAAAGTCGTTCCAGTAAATGCTCGTTCATTGGCCTGACTGTAATTCCCAGTATTTGCACCATATTGAATTTCGTCTCATTCGCGACGGATGAATTTCACGTTTTCTTTGAACCAGCCCAAATTTTCTTGTTTGTTTTTCTACGTGGCTCAAACCTTGGTAGTGTGTTTACCTTGGTGAGAAAACTTACATTTGTTTTAAGAAATATAAGTGCTTTTATCAGTATTGTGACCATGAACTTCGTGATTTAAGGGCTAATGTTGGTATTTAGGTTATGGACTTCTGGAGTCGAATACTGTTATTGGTATTCAAGCTATGAACTTCTGGATTCGAATGCTGATATTGGGATTTAATCTGTGATATTCTTATTAGAGTATTAATATCATACAAAGTAATCCTTATTTGTTTTAAACCGTTTTAGCCAATATAAGAAACTGTACGAAATTAGTGCTATCAGAACTATTTTTATAAACAAATCGTGTTTGTTTTCAGTCTACGGAATGTTGACAGCAGTACTATATTAAAAATTCCAGTTTATTTTCAACCTTAAAAATGTTGTGTACTGCATCGAAACTCGTGTTTATTTAGCGTATTAAATTTGTGGTTTGTTTTTACTTTTTCGTTTCCTTTGTGCTCTAAATCTTTGTATATTTTCATCACTTGCAACCTTGTATTCCTGCGGAATTCGCCTTTTTCTTTATTTCTTATCTTTTCGATTTTCTTTTAAATTCTCGTTCTGCGTCTTTCAGTCTTTGAAGAGCTGTTTACTGCCAGTTATTTAAGCCTAAATCACGTGACGAAATATCATGCTTCATTCTGAGCGTGTTTAAAAACAATTTTAAAGTCAAAAATCCCTAAAAATAACATTTCAGGCCTATATTTCGTTCGCCGCTAGTCAATGCCCAAGAGGGATTTCGTTCAGTATCAGTCGCATCAGCTAGACCTGACCTGATGCAGTCAAAATACCCTGAAATACATACTATTTATACCTATGGCACCAACATTCCAGTGTCTTGCGCGAGATTGTCGAATTACATCTTGAACAGAATATGCACCATCTAACATTCATAAAATAAAAACGTTTGATAAAATTTAGAAAATTTAAAATCCTACATGTTTCGAACTTCCTAAAATGTCTGTGAAAATTAAAAACGGATGTAAAATTAATATTACATTTAAGCCAATTCAAACGCACAAAATGTGATATTTGGCGGTAAGTGTAGAGTAGATGTTTTATAAATAAAATCAAAAATAAGGTATATACGAACTTTCACCTGAATGCAATGAGGAATTTGTATGGATAAAGAAAACAGAATTTCAGTTGCGATTTAAGTCAACATAAGCCTGATTGTAGAATGGACCACAAGATACTTCGGAATTATGTAAAATTTTGTGCTCAACCCCAAAAGAAATATTAGATAATATATAGAATTAATGAAGAAAAAAATAACGTAAATAAAGAGGAAGATCCAGAGTTGAATAATATTCTTTTTTTTGGAAATAAGATAATTTATGTGACGTTTCAAAGACGAGGTTGAGGTTTAGTTTTAACAGAATGAATATAAAATCATAAATAATATTCAACGTTAAACTGGTACACAATTGAAAAACAT